TAACAAATGACATGTTAAACTTAACTGCGTTGGAGGAAATTACGTCCAACAAACAATTAAGAAAGAAAAAATGAAAATATATTTCCCAAGGTTCTATTTGGCACTCGTTTCGTTTGTGATTAAACTGATTTTCCGCAAATATCTCAAAATCTGAGTAAGATTAATTCTTTTGTTGCTTTGTAGACCGGTTATATGATCAAACTTTGTTTTGTTTTTTGCATATGGCAACTGAATTAAACTTTTCAAGATGGTGGCCTAGCTTATCAAATCTGGTCTTAACGACATAATTTGGTCTATTTGTCACAAGTTGGTCTATGTATCACAAGTTGGGCTATTGGTCCTAATTTGGTCTATTAGCCACATGTTGGTCTATTGGTCCTAATTTGGTCTATGTACCATTTTGGTCTATTGGTCCTAATTTGGTCTATGTACCACAGTTAGGTCCAGTACAACCCAATTGATAAGACTTGACCTTTCTGCTTGTTGTGGATTTCTGAATCTGACAAGCGTGCCCATATTTTATTCTGGTAAAAATCATTGCTTAACACTCAGCAGACGAAGCAATTTCCGGCCCGCGCGCGAACTTATTGCAATCTGATGTCTTGTCAAAATACGTCTTGTCAACTTCCGGTCGTTTGGTCTAGGTCGGCTACCACTGGGCCGGATAATTAGCTGTAATTAGGATTTAACTAAAATTAGGAAATGGTAAGAAAGACGATATAGATAAGTACTGAACGCAATTGTCTTTGTAAATATTTGTCGTAGGTTCAACTCTAGTTGATATATAGCTCTTGTTTGTTTGTTTATTTTTTAATTATGTATTTTTTCATTTATATTTATATATCGTGTGGAGGTTAGGTAACAATATATTACTACCTGTGTATCTAAGAACAATATTTCAAATATATATATATATATATATATATATATATATATATATATATATATATATATATATATATATATATATATATATATATATATATATATATATATATATATATATATATAATTTATATATATAGTATGAGCGTATTAGCAAGCATATTATGTGGGCCCCAGTATGTGGGACCACCACCATAAAGGTGTATTAACAACGGTGTATGAACTAAAATGAGCTGTTGTTTTTTCTTCATTTTCTTAGACGGTTTGATAAAAAAAGTTTTTTTTTAAATATCTGATCAAAGCTGTCGTCTAAGCTGATGAGTCAGTTATTGAGGTTTAACTTTCTGCACTCTATTCATTTGACCAACTTTTCCAGTCCTTACCTTAACCACTTCAATGTGTCACAACTTAAGACAGCTAAATGATTTTTTATGTCTATGTCTCAATTTGAACGGGTCTGCACTTGGAGTTACCCCGCTAGACATTGCCATTTATGTTTTTTTTTTTTTAACTTTTTTAATAATATTAATATTTAGTAAAAAAAAGGAATTTTGTATGATTTGGTGAGCAGGCACCTAAAAGCTTACTGGAGTCTACATGTAATAAGTTGTAGAAGCTAACTGGAGTCTGTAACAAGTTACAAAAGCTAGGAACCATGGTTTATATTAAAAGCTTTCACATAAATAGTTTAAAAATTACAGGATCTGCTATAATTTAAAATCTTCCAACTATGAACACTGTTAAACTACATCACTGAGTCACACCGAAAAAAACTTCGAATATTCACTGTTTTTAATGTATTTATTTCTTTCTAAAAAGACACGTACACTGATTCATTATTTTATTTACAGCTAGAAAAGTAACCTCTGTTGTCAGAGTTTCTTCCAGGCATCTCTTCGAAGAAAGTCTACCGCCCCCCCCCCCCCCCCGGAGAAAAAATCTGGAAGAAACACTGTCTGTTGTTCATCCCAGGCCATTTAAATTTTCAAAAATAATTTTTCCCCGAGAATAAATGTGCTTGCTAACAGGAAGTTGTAAATATCCTTGTTCCAATTAGGAATTCTTTGTGTGTTGTATTTTTTGACCTGCCCAATTATTCCGCCCATCGATCATTGATGTGTGACGTTATGGATGGAACAGTGTCACGTTTGATTGAAGACTGTCACGTTTGATCGAAGCGTTTCCACCGTGAATTTGATTCCTGCTTTCTTTACTCGCGTCATCCCACCGGCCTTGAAATCAGCTTCAAATTTTCTTTGGAAAAAAAATTCACTCAGATTTTTAAAATGTTCTCTTGTTTAAGAATTAATTTAAAAATATATTTACTGCGATAAAGTAAATTAAACGAATTTTTTATTTTAAATCTTAATATTTCTGAAAACAAAACTACATCTACAAAATCCTTTTTTGTTAAAAAAGAAAGGCGTTTCATTAAAGGCATTAAAAAAATGTTCGATTAATCCTGGCAAGATTAGACTAGCCGGCAATTCTTAATCAATATGCCACGTGATTTTTATGAATGTTCTAGAACCGTGTGTAGGCCGGACATTAATTAGGTTCTAAAAACGTCATCAATGATGTGTAGGGGCGGTGAGGTGTTCACAAGTTGGTGTTAGTTCTAGTCTAGGGTCACATGTCTCAAACATATTCGTGCGTCAGTTTTCTATACAAGCTTAATGAAAAAGTTAAGATACTATTGTGGGGATGATCCACGGTTAAAATGGTAGATGCAATAGAGAGGAAAATTCGGTCGTCTCTATGCCCAGTTACCTTTACTTTTTCTAACGTGGGTCAGGTACCCACTAGAGCTGAGTGAACAATGAGCTCTTTTCAAGTTAGCAGGTATTGCGGTATATCGCCTGACAATGCTATCCCACGTTCCGTCCTAAAATTAAATTTTAAATGGTTTGAGTTAGTCTTACAGTCAATATTTTACAATAATTGTTGGATCATTCTCCTGTACAAGTCGGCTAATGAATGGTAAACTAATACTAGCAGAGAAGCGCCTAGGTGTTGGCGTACGAACCCTCGGGCTCAACAGCAGGGTACAGCAACTCTTCTAGGAGAGACAACTCCAACATCAAACAACTGCTGCCTTGTAGTTTGTTCTTGGTTGAACAAAGGCTATGGAAGCAAATCCAAAAAGAAAATCAGGCTGAAAAAGGAGTCAACTACCTAAATGGCGCATAACAAATTGACACGTAATTTTTTATTCGTGTAGTAAATACCACCTGTTGTAATGTGTAGAAAATACGACCATTTTGCAAAGCATAGTCAATACCATCCTTTTGTGACGTGTTTGTGAATACCAAAGTTTTTTTTACGTGTGATGAATACCACCTTTTTATAACGTTTAGTTAAAAACCACCCTTTTGTAACGTGTAGCAAACACAACCTTTTTGCTCCATGTAATCCTTGATGAAAACCACCACACCGAAGCTCCCGAGCTTCAAGCTCCAGCACGTCATAAATTCCCGGGTCCCCACTTCCGGTTGATAACGACCGAGTGGCCATATTGTCCGTCATCTCTTGTAGCACCTCCTGGCAACATGACAAACACGGGGGAAGAAAGACAACTCGTGCAAACATCAAACATGAACCGAGCCGCACTCTGGAACTGACGCGAACTGAGGGTTGAAAGACTGTTGTTTGGAGATTATTTAATGAGCGTGTAATTAGTGCAGGGGAGGTGAGGGGTCAAGCGGTGCGGTAAGTCGCCTTGGTGCGAGTTTTGTAAGATTTGTTTTCGGTTAATTATTTATTAAAATTTTGATGAGGTTTGTATTTTTGGGAATTGATTGTGTTGATATAAAGTTATTGGGTTGGTTTAATGTGGTTGGGTTGGGTTGGTGTAATGTGGTTGGGTTGGTGGGTGTGATGTGGTTTGATTGACATAATGTGGTTGGGTTGGTGTGATGTGGTTGGGTTGGTGTGATGTGGTTGGGTTGGTGTGATGTGGTTGGGTTGGTGTGATGTGGTTGGGTTGGTGTGATGTGGTTGGGTTGGTGTGATGTGGTTGGGTTGGTGTGATGTGGTTGGGTTGGTGTGATGTGTGTGGTTGGGTTAGTGTGATGTGGTTGGGTTGGTGTGATGTGGTTGGGTTGGTGCGATGTGGTTGGGTTGGTGTGATGTGGCTGGATTGACATAATGTGGTTGGGTTGATGTGATGAGGTTGGGTTGGTGTGATGTTGTTGGGTTGGTGTGATGTGGTTGGGTTGGTGCGATGTGGTTGGGTTGGTGTGATGTGGCTGGATTGACATAATGTGGTTGGGTTGATGTGATGAGGTTGGGTTGGTGTGATGTTGTTGGGTTGGTGTGATGTGGTTGGGTTGGTGTAATGAGGTTGGGTTGGTGTGATGTAGTTGGGTTGGTGTAATATGGTAGGGTTGGTGTGATGTGATGTGGTTGGGTTGGTGTGATGTGGTTGGGTTAGTGTGAAGTGGTTGGGTTGGTGTGATGTGGTCGGGTTGGTGTGATGTGGTTAGGTTTGTGTGATGTTGTTGGGTTAGTGTGATGTGTTTGGGTTAGTGTGAAGTGGTTGGGTTGATGTGATGTTGTTGGGTTGGTGTGATGTAGTTGGGTTGATGTGATGTTGTTGGTTTGGTGTGATGTGGTTGGGTTGGTGTGATGTGGTTGGGTTGGTGTAATGTGGTTGGGTTGGTGTGATGTAGTTGGGTTGGTGTAATATGGTAGGGTTGGTGTGATGTGGTTGGGTTGTCGTTAAGTGGTAGGGTTAATGGCTGGTCTATACTGAGAGGAGAATAAAAACGAAAATTCACTAAGTTTCAGTTTTGACATTCGGTATAACAGATGAAGTAGAGTTTTTCTGTTATCTGATAGGAATAAGATGGTCATTACCATATTGAGAAGTCTTCACTAATCCCCATTTATTTTTTTGCTGGACCCGAAGATATTTGGCGTATTTAAGTATGGGAACACATTCTGGAACAAGAGCAGGAAGGATTAAAACTGCGCGACCACGTATATATATATATATATATATATATATATATATATATATATATATATATATATATATATATATATGTTTATGCATAATCTGTATATGTTAACATGTGACCAATGAGCCCTTTTGTTTCCCTCCTCAGACCAGTTTTGACACAACACTGACGCCATGGCCATCCACATCCCTGGACTTATCGCCATCATCCTCTTCTATGTCCTTATCGTGGCCGTGGGCATCTGGGCATCCCGGAAGTCCAAGAAGACGGGGGACAGCACGGAGACTGAGGAGGTTATGCTGGCTGGACGCAACATCGGCCTCATCATTGGGATATTTACCATGACGGGTGAGTGTCGGCAGTGTTTGTGTGCATGGTCCGGCTACAACCTTGGTAAACAAGATGGGGAAGGGGCTAGACTAGCTCCAGCCTTGGTGAACAATGTATCTGCCAGGGGATGGGGGGATTTCGTCTCTGCCCAGGTAAATAAGATATCTGCCTAGAAATTGGGGGGGGGGGGGGAGGAGAGTCTAGTTCCGCCCAGGTCCCAGGTAAAAAAGATAATCGCCTGGGATGGTGTGGGGGGGGGGGGGGGGCTAGTTCCGGGAGATGTATCTGCCTGGAGGGTGGGGAGGGGAATTCGGCTCTGCCCAGGTAAATAGTAAATCTGTCTAGAAATGGGGTGGGGGGGTCTAGTTCCGCCCAGGTCCCAGAACACAAGATAATCGCCTGGGATGGATGTGGGGGGGGGGGGGCTAGTTCAGGCCAGATAAACAAGGTATCTGCCTGGGGATTGAGGGGCGGGGGGGGGGGGGGATTCGGCTCTGCCCAAGTAAATAAAATATCTGCCTTGGAATGGAAAGGGGGAGTCTAGCTTCGCTCAGTTCCCAGGAAAGCAAGAAAAGCGCCTGTGATTGTTGGTGGGGAAAACTAGTTCCGGCCAGATAAACAAGGTATCTGCCTGGGGATGGGGGAGGGGGGAGTCCAGTTTCGCCAAGGTAAACATGATCATCGCCCTAAACAAGATATATTTTCTTATCATTAACCTTAATCCTGATGCTATCCCTGACTATAACTATAACAATTAATGTATCTTTAGCAACGTGTTGCCGGTAGATTTATAGATACATTTGATGTTACCTTTCGTAGCTCATGTGAATTTACCTTATGAAGTTCATGCAAAGACATTTACTTTAGCTCTTTAAATTTAGTTTTCTTTGCTATAGGGCATTCACATTGTTAGGTTATGTACTTTTAGTAGTTCAATTTTTTAAGTTTACAAGAAATATTCTTGTCATGTTGGTTTAGCTTCTTAATTTGATGTAGAACTACTTTTTTTTAGATTCTGTGGAGTTACCTAAGTTTGGTGGAGTTTCCTATCTTAGATATCGTGGAGATACCTATCTTAGATATTGTGGAGTTACCTATGTTAGATATTGTGGAGTTACATATCTTAGATATTGTGGAGTTACCTATCTTAGATATTGTGGAGTTACCTATGTTAGATATTGTGGAGTTACCTATCACAGATTTTAAAAATTTACTTTTCTTAGAGTATTAACCACACCCTCTTATTTGAAAAGTGAAGATGTGTAGGTTAATTGAAAAATCATCAACACAACAAACACGAGAGAAGTTCATGTAACTTTAGTAAGATGAACATTCATCTCTATAACATAATCTATACTATTTTTCTGCTGTTAAGCACATGTAGCTAGTGCTAGCATTACACTCATAGGGTTCATTCTGTGTAGCAGACGTAGCACTTGCTACCAATCAATGCACTAACCACCTCTTACAGGGAAGAACCTAGTCCTGTAATCAGTAGGGAACAGCCTAGTCTTATAATCAGCCTAATTAGCACAGCGCTTGAGACTTCCGCATCGAGATCGTCACGTTTCTAACCATTAAAGTATCGATTACCTTGGATGTGCACCGCTTGTTATACACTCGACAGATCCGGCATCCGGCATGCGACATACAGCACCAGACATCAGCTATTAACTACAAAAGGACTGTACACGCCCAGGCATACAGCAAGAATTAGGTTCATTATTATTTGGGTGCAATGGAGACTAACTTAGTTCTTCCAGAATATATCAAACTAATATTCACTCACGCTAGCACCCCCACCCCAGACCCACAAACTTCTCATATCCCTTCACTTCATCCCATCTACTTCACAATTGTCAAATCTATTTCACAATTATCCCATCTATTTCACAATTATCCAATCTATCATAAATGAACTCATCCATCGTAAAGGGCCGCACTACATTCCTTCTGGTCGTTTCTACCACCCCCCCCCCAACCATCACCAAGTCCCTATTCCAACAATGCACTCCCCATTCAGTACCCAACCATCCACCCCACACATCCATACCAACCATTCAAACAAAATCTCTACCCTACTCATTTCATTTTGGCCAACTCTCGTAATCTCTAATCTGAGCTTGTTATTTGTTAAATCTCCTAGTGTCTAGCCTACTCTCTTTTATTGGACTAATCTCCCAATGTATAATCTGTTCTTTATTTTGTTAAATCTCGTAATCTCAAACTTACTTTTTTATATTTGTTAAATCTCGTAATCTCAAACTTACTCTCTTGTATTTACTAAATCTCGTACTCTAAACTATTCCCTGTATAGGCTAAATCTCGTAATCACAAAATTAATTTCTTATATTTGTTAAATCTCGTAATCTCTTGCCTACTTTCTTATACTGGCCAAATCTCGTAATCTCTAACTACTCTCTTGTATTTAATAAATTTCGTGCTCTAAACTACTCCCCTGAATTAACTAAATCTCGTAATCTCTAACCTACTCTCCTTTATTAGCCACATCTCGAATTTTTTTTTCCAAGTTCTCTCATCGGTTGGCCAAATCTCGTAATATTGCTCCTTTTGTCTTTTCTTGGCCAAATCTCGTAAGGTTTCCCCGACTCTTCTGTCAAATTGTTTAACTTTTACCTTGGTCCGAATTTCGCCGGAGGAAAGATCAATAACTCTGTAGACAAGTTATCTCCCCTGTTTTTTTCTCCACAGGCGCCCACCACGATATTTTGTTTCTGTCGTCTTGTTTCCGCCTTAAAGATTTTCTGTCTCAATCCAGGGACTAGGGAAAAATGTCGAGGAATTTTCTGGAAGGATTTGTAGACGGGTTTAATCACTCAACATGGAACATGAATTTTCCCCTGGGTCGTCTGCAGATTTCACTGATTGGGGGAAGGGAGGGGGTGGGAGCTGCAATTAGGGTTGTTGGTGGTTTTGAGGGGTGGGGATTGAGAAGGGGGCAGGGCGGGGGAGATTTGGTTAAGTTAACGAGTAATTGGAATTTTCAAGAATTTTAAAAATTATGTTCTAGTCGCATTTAATTTTGTTTCGTTAATTATCGTTGTTAATTATATTTTTTTTTCAATTTTAAAACCAAAATCATTTTATTGTATTTGTATTGATTACGTTACTTAATGAACAGTTTTGCAATGAATAACTGTTTCAAATAAATGAATTGCGAAATTAGTAATAAAAACATTTTTTCACGATAACTTGTATTACAAATAGCAGTTCTACAAAATATGCGACTTTATTCTAATGTATACTGCAATCACCTGAACTTGAACAACTAATTATGATTGTATCAAACCAGCGTATTTCGATAAGAAAGTCTACTTGGTGACCTGGATAGTGGACACACACTTGAGGCGGGGGGGGGGGGGGCAAGTGGTGGACGTTCAGTGTGTTTGTGTACACTAGATGGGTCCAATCTTGCCAGATTTCTCGATACAATCTTGCCAGATTTCTCGGTACAATCTTGACAGATTTCTCGGTACAATCTTGACAGATTTCTCGGTACAATCTTGACAGATTTCTCGGTACAATCTTGCCAGATTTCTCATTACAAGCATGACCGATTTCTCGGTAAATCTTGCCAGATTTCTCGGTACAATCTTGCCAGATTTCTAAGACTAGTCTTGCCAGATTTCTCGGTACAATCTTGCCAGATTTCTCGGTACAATCTTGACAGATTTCTAGGTACAATCTTGCCAGATTTCTCGGTACAATCTTGACAGATTTCTCGGTACAATCTTGCCAGATTTCTCGGTACAATCTTGCCAGATTTCTCTGTACAATCTTGCCAGATTTCTCGGCCTAGCCTTGCCAGATTTCTCGGTACAATCTTGCCAGATTTCTCAGTACAATCTTGACAGATTTCGAATACTAGTCTTGCCAGATTTCTCGGTACAATCTTGCCAGATTTTTCGGTACAATCTTGACAGATTTCTCGGTACAATCTTGAGAGATTTCTCAGTACATTCTTGGCAGATTTCTCAGTACAATTTTACCAGATTTCTCGGTCTAGCCTTGCCAGATTTCTTGGTCTAATCTTGCCAGATTTTTGGTCCAGTTGCCAGATTTCTACGTCTGATCTTGCTAGATTTCTCTCAATCAACAACATATAACCAACATCCAAATACTAACACACAACTAACACACAACTACCAACATATCAAACAACATCAAAATTCACACACAATTTTAGCATCGTAATTACATCATATCACCAACATCCAAATAACAACATATCACCAACATCCAAATACCATCAGCAGCATCCATATACCAACCTACCTTCAACTCTGTACAATCAACGTACCATCAAGAATGAAGTATCACGTCCAGACCAGTTTAACCCTACTGTATTTAAGTTCCCTCTCCCTTATTTTTTTAGAGACAAAAAAATCAAATTAGAAAAAAAAATAATTGCCCAGTAATCCCCTTATTTAACCTTGACAAAAAGTCCAGCCCCCCCCCCCCCCCCCCCATCTATTCTTATCCCTTCGATCAGATTGCTGGTGGCGTATAATTGCACTAAGCGTCGCCACCGATAATTTGGATTGTTTACAACATGTCCGCTACGAGCGTTAAGTTCCCACTTCCGCCGTCATGGCGGCGTCCTGCACAATGGAACCTAGACGCCGTTAGCGTTAGGATTAGCCAAGTGGGATAACCGTCCACTGATGCGTTATTTTTTAACCTAGACGCCGTTAGCGTTAGGATTAGCCAAGTGGGATAACTGTCCACTGATGCGTTATTTTTTAACCTAGACGCCGTTAGCGTTAGGATTAGCCAAGTGGGATAACTGTCCACTGATGCGTTATTTTTTAACCTAGACGCCGTTAGCGTTAGGATTAGCCAAGTGGGATAACTGTCCACTGATGCGTTATTTTTTAACCTAGACGCCGTTAGCGTTAGGATTAGCCAAGTGGGATAACTGTCCACTGATGCGTTATTTTTTAACCTAGACGCCGTTAGCGTTAGGATTAGCCAAGTGGGATAACTGTCCACTGATG